AACATGTCCGCAACATCCCTTACACAAACTCCGCTACAATCAACTGCAAACAAACCAACAATTGACTCAGCCATCCTTTGAAGTGTCTGACACACCGGGTTAAAGCAGCACCATTTGAAGAGTCTAATAAGGGCAGATGAAGCAGAGGAATGGGGCCAGGACTTAGAGGAATGCATGTTAAAGCAGAGGGAGCAGGAGAACGGGGAGGGTGGTAGGGTGGCTGGCGGCCTCTACTTAGACAAATACACCCACAATGAAAACAAATCAATGAGAGAGCATCAGTCGGCATTTCGGTCAACGCTCCGAGCGGCATGCATAAACACACTTGGCCTGAAGCAAAGACATTAATATTTCAATAAATAAAGAAGAAAGAAGATCCAAGACAAATGTTTCAGCTTTTGGCCCTCTTCCTCTTTTCATAGCTTCTTATTTGGCATCTGAACGAGCGGCTAACTGTTATGTAAAAGTCACACAACACATCCGTCTCAAAATGTCACATGTGTCCTGTAGAAAACAGTCCCTGGTAGGCTATGCATAGAAAGTCTCTCGAAGATCCTTTTCTTTCTTTGTACTGCTCTAAAACACTGTGGGCTAAAACTACATTGAGATTTACATATCATGAATATGACTTCACTATCATATTTACAGCATTTTGCTTGTTTATTTTTTTCCCTCCTTTGTTTTACTGTTGTAGAACCAAAAAAAAACATGAGTGATGCCAAGTTTGATTGTATGCAAATGTAAAATTACATGCGCGGTGGAATATTAGACTAATGCTATTGCCGTAGCTGTGTCCTCGGAGGTTTGATTCAGAAGAGAGTGACAAGACACAGAGAGCAAACTCTTTGTGCTGCCTTTCAACAAGACTGTAGTTATTGTAACACATGCATGCTCAAGCAAACCAGCCTATAACTAGTTTATTTATTTTTTTTCCAATTGAGTTCAAATCATCTCTGTCAATACCATCACATTGTTTTTACCTGACTAAGGTCCCAGTGGTCTTTGCTAAGGAGGGGGTCTTGAAGTGCAGCACCCAGCATGCCAGGGAACAAGTAACCAGGCCTGTACTTAGCTTTTACACACCAATTCAAGAGCACAAGCTCTTTACGTTCAACTGCTGTAGGGCTCTTCTGCATAATTCATAACCACTCAGTTAATCTATTGATCCAGACTTAGTGAGGCCCATCCCGTTTGGATGGCAAACGGCAGGTAACAGCGGAATGGTGCAAAGAGAATGACAGGGTGCCAAGGAAAGGATGCGGATCACAGTATGTGCACACAGGAGGGAATCCAAGAAAGAAATTGGGGAAAGGAGTTAGAAATGAGGCATGAAAAGCGACTACACCAAACAATTTTACAAGGCCCAGAATAGGTTAGCAAGACTCACAGTCTTGTGAGTCTTGCTAACCTAAAGACACTAATTGTGTCTTTACAGAATCGAAAGTGAAAGCAAAGATCAGTGCTACAGGGTAAATTGTTTTATTTAATTTAGAAAATGGCGAAAACAGAGAGAAATCCCTAGGGAGAAAAATGCCTGGACCTGAGAATTTGTTCTCAAAGTGTGGAACAGAAAAATACAAATCTTCCCACCGACGCTTCACATCCCATCCAGGTCAGCTTATCATCTGTGTTGGCTGCCATTCATTTTTAATGTCTTTTTTGGCCACTGCCCCATCAGGTAATGAAGTATTCCTGTTCACATTCTGTCCCATCTTTCTGCTTACTTTCCTCTCTGACTGGCAATGCATGAGTCTCCCCACCTGCCTCTCCTTTTTTCATTCCACCAAAATCACTTAAATCAAGAGCTCTTTCAGCCTCAGTGAACGGAACCAAAACAGCAAACCCCTACAACCACCGTGCACAGCTCTCCAAGGTGCGTGCTTGCTTCTCTTTTCTTTTATTTCCCAGGTGAGCACCATCCTCTAAGTATAAGACTGAAGTTGACCCATCATCCAGGTACCCAAAAACTTCAAGTCAAATGACAAGCAGAAAGACATCTTCTGCAGAGCTTCGGAGTGTGGAATCACCACGTTTCGGTAACTTTGTACCTTTAATTTGTGCTGGCAGACAATAAAATATTTACCAGGAACCCTAAAGGCAATTACATTAAAGTGCATGCTTAGACACCCCTTCCCTTCGGCAACCCCACAGTGTGAACCCGTTGATTTGGTGAATGGTCACATATCTACAATGTTACATTTTACACGCTATCAATAATTCACCAATCACAAAATGGGGGAGGATTGAGGGTGCAAGAATGGAAAAAAAGAAAGTAAGGAGAAAGAGGAAAGCGAGGTACATGTGCTCATGTGCACACTGAGCAGTTATTTGCTTAACGTAGCAGAAATATTTACTTGTGGTGATGTCTTGTTTTCATTCTCTCTTTTGAGCTGTAGCACCACACCCACACTCCTATTGCATATGCACAAATAAAAAGTCTGGCTGTATTCAAATGGTCAGTGTACAGTAAAAAAAATAAAATAATAAAAAACAAAGGGTTAGGCAAGGGCAGCAGAAATGATTTTTTTTTAACTATTTCAAAGTTAAAAATTAAATTGAAATTTAAAAATGCAACTGTGCCATTATTTTCTCAAATCATTCCATTTTTTTATTCACAAAAGAAGATATTTTGAAAAAGTATTCAGTGAAAGACAAAGCATGTTGTTTTGACATTGATTTTCATTGTATGGGAAAACAAACAAAACAACAACAAAAAAAGTATTGTGTTCTGCAGAAGAAACACTGAGCTAAGGAAAGAAATAATTCCTTTGTAGACAAAAGTCCAACAAAGGTGCCCAAAGTGTAGTCACAAGTTGCATTGCTAGCAACATAGTTCAACAATTTAGTGTTTCCTAAAGCCATAATAAGTCAAATTCGAATAATTCGCAAACAGCATTGCAAAGTTGTGTATTTGGAACTACAGTACTGGACTTGTGGTAGAAGCATAGTTTCTTGTTAGTATGACAGGTTTCAATAGATTCATATATACATCTGTAAATAAATCAGAACAACAGAGAACAAAAGTAACTTGTTGTTTACAGCAATAATCGGATAACAATTTGATTTCGACCCAATCAGTTAGCACAAGTTATTATTCCACCACCTGTGTGACATAATAAACCATTATACAGTTGTCTATATTTGAACCAGTGTGGTTCAAACAACAGATTTCGTAACTACCTAGTTAATATCTCCAACAAGGCATAACACAATGTTTTATTTGTGGGTTTCGTCATTGCATGGGAAATGCACCCCAGATCTGTGCTTTTCTATTTTTCTGTGAACTGTACAGTATATGACAGAAAATAACAAACAGTCTCAACACCTCAACTTATTATCTGGAGTAGGAATCCTAACAGCCAATACCACCATTTCCCCATTTCAGCATTAATATTCATTGAGGAAAATGTTCCATTAGCAATAATCAAGCACTTCCCCAGGCTTGTTTGCAGAAAACTCATCAGGAAAATGACTGCGACTCGGTGTCGGCAGTCTGACAGAGAAAGAAGGAATGACAGGAAAAGAGGGAACGACTCAATAGATTCAACAAGTATGGCTTGTATCGTCTCTGCTGCATGTCTGTCTCTCTATCTACATGTATATGCTCACTCTTTGAGCCGTCTTCTCTTTTCCAGACTGCCTCTCTCTGTTCTGTCACTTTTGCTGTGCCTCTCTGTCCATCCCTCAGCATTTGGAGTCCCCAGTGACAGTGGTTGCTGGGGGAGAGATGGCAGCATTGATGCATATTTGATGAGGGGGTGCCAAGCCCTTGCCGGAGAGCAAGGCACGAGGGGACGATGTTGCTATCTGTGTCTGCATCTCAGGTTTCTGAGTCACACTCGCAGAGACTCCTTCTTCCATTGTGGGCCTTTATTGTCCGTGTCTGGGGTTTCAGCACCAATTAGAGTGATAGATATGTGGGCTCTACACAAGCCAAACCAGAGCAACTTGCATGCAGTACCAACAAAACCTGCGCAACACACAACCCACTTTGAAGAGGTGCTGATCAAATAGTCAAGTTCCAATAATGAAGTTCCCAAGTTAGCAGCTTCACTGCGTGAAGGGCAATGTGATCTATTCACTGAACCAAGACTTTTTATCTACTGGAAGCATTTATTTTATTTATTTATTTTTTTTTTTTACCACAGTTTTTCTTTAATTCATTCATTCATTCATTCATGCAAATGGATGGTGGTTCCAGCATTTCATTTGTCAGACTGAGGTATTTGATTGACTACTTTAATTTGTTTGACCTGTGTTTTTTTTAAATCAATATTTAATTGTACATGGGCTCTTATCATCCCAGCATGTTTATGCTCTATTTAAGAATCCATATCGTGGTGCATATATACCACAAAGTAAATGAACAATAATTAATTCATGTACCAAATTGTTAAGGCTGGCCACATGAAGAAAAAAAAAGTCACTTGCGTCACTCAACAAAATGCACAAAACGTGCATTTAAGAATGACATTTTATCAGTTTGTGTGACAAACGATGATAAAAGGACATAAATTAGTAAACATTTATAAATATGATCAAATGTATAGCTAAAAAATGTACAATGACATTTATAAAAAGTTGCAAATTAGAAATCCTGAGTATTAACTACTATTTTATTTTTTTGAATCTTTATTTAGATCATAACAATTCATAGATACGATGACAGGCATTTAAATTAAAAGCATGTGCACATAAAGATCGGAGTGTTCAATAGGCCTACAACCAATCTAGCGCAACCTGTCAAAATCACAGCACCAATGAAAACACACCATGAGAGTCTCACAGCTAAAGCCACGCATTCTCTGCTCAAGCGCACATGATGGGGGATGAGACCAGAAACTCCAGAGGCGTGTTCACATGCCAAATTTACCAATAACATTTAAGGGTACTGCAATAGTAGTTGGGCGGGACCTGTACCTATCTGGGTGGGGCTAAAGAAGACAGCGTTATATGTTAGGTGCCTGCGTAAATTCCTACTGTTTCACAGGCATTGACAGCTCGCACCTGGCTACAGCTAAACCAGAAAAGAAGACTCCTCGGGCATAGTTTTTCACTTTTTACCATCCAGATTATCCCGGTTCTCCGAGGTAGACACTCTGCTTGGGCCAAAACAGAGGAAGACGAGAAACGACCTTTTCTCACCTCTGCCATAATGATGTCCATGAATAGTAAACAGCCGTTTAGTATGCATCCGATTTTGAACGAACCTAAATACACACCTCTACATTCCAGTTCTGAGGCTATCCGACGAGCATGTTTGCCCACGCCTGCGGTAAGTTCAATATTTCATCTGTGTTTCTGGTTTGAGATTAATTATCACCGCAAATCATTTGCATTGTAATCGTAGTGGTTAAAACTTTTTCTCCGCGTGAAAAAAATAGAAGTGCATCGGTTTTGTTGATTTAAATGCAGTCTATTTAATAAACTGTCGCCCAAATAACTCTTGCACTTATGCATTTATTTTACTACGCTTTTTTCATTAAAAAATTAGACATTTTACAACACAGAAGCAGCACTTAATTTCGAAATTAGCGATTATTTGCATAGCCTAACCATTTTAGTGCCGCTTTAGATGGTTTGCAAAAAGTGTCTCAATTTGATACTATTTTGATACTAAACTTTATAACACTGTAAAAACTAAATGCAGGCTACGTGATCTAGTTGTATACGTTTTCTTTAAAATGTTTTGGCAACTTAAAACTGGCTTGCTGGAATTTGGCATTGATACTTATTACTTACACTTGCTCTCTGTCACATAGCTGCAGGGTAACATCTTTGCCGGCTTTGACGAGACCCTGCTCCAGAGAGCCGAGGCGCTGGCGGCGGTGGACATCGTCGCTCAAAAGAGTCACCCGTTCAAGCCAGATGCCACCTACCACACCATGTCTACCATGACAAGCATGACCTGCACGCCCACGTCCTCTTCTGGGCACCTTCATCACCCGTCTGTGCTGACTTCTCACCACCATCATCCCCACCACCAGCCGACGCAGGGCCTGGAGGGCGACCTGCTCGACCACCTCACCCCCGGCATCACTATCGGAGGCATGCCGGGCTCCGACGTTTGCTCCACCGCTTCTCACCCGCATTCACACATGTCAGCACACACATATCACCACCCGCAAACTATGCACATGCACCCCCACAGCCTGGGCTCGCACACCTCTCTGGGTGGCGGTGGAGACTCCGAGCCTGATCCACGGGAGCTGGAGTCTTTCGCCGAGCGCTTCAAACAGAGACGGATCAAACTCGGAGTCACGCAGGCCGACGTGGGCTCTGCGTTAGCCAATCTTAAAATACCCGGGGTCGGCTGCCTGAGCCAGAGTACAATCTGTCGGTTCGAGTCCCTCACTTTGTCCCACAATAACATGGTAGCCCTCAAGCCTATTCTGGAAGCGTGGTTAGAGGAGGCAGAACGGGCTCAGAGAGAGAAAATGACCAAGCCGGAGATTTTTAGCGGCGGGGACAAAAAGAGAAAACGCACTTCTATCGCTGCTCCAGAGAAGCGATCGCTGGAGGCTTACTTTGCCGTCCAGCCCAGACCCTCGTCGGAGAAAATCGCTGCCATTGCCGAGAAACTGGACCTGAAAAAAAACGTGGTCCGCGTGTGGTTTTGTAATCAAAGGCAAAAGCAGAAACGGATGAAGTTTTCGGCAACGCACTAGGCCAGAATAAGGCATTTCAATAAACTCAATCATCAGACATACGAGTGAACAGAGCCGACAAAACTCTTCGAGGCTGAGGCGAAACGCTTCCCACACAGGAATGGGAGCTGGGCGGCAACATCCCAGAGACAGAAAGTGTACCAAAAGTTTGCCATGACAATATGTCAAGAACAACACGCTCTGGAAGACGGAGGACGAGAGGAAAATCAACACCAACTAAAGGTTGCAATTATTGTACAAATCGAGAATTGAATAATGATTATTCTCTTAACTCAAAACAACTCTTTTATATTCATCTGTACATATCTGTGAATACACTGCACCTCTTTGTGTGAAGAACGCATCAAAATTCTTTTTTAAGGATGAAAAGAAAGAAAGATAAAAACGCTGTTGTGCAAAAGATGTCCCATTCTAGAAACTTTAGTGTTATTTTATATGCTACAGAAGAAAATCATGAAGGTTCTGCTGTGATCCATTGCATGGTTTACAAGGCATTAAGTGTTCATTTTTCGTTTGAAATTTCCATTCATTTGAATGTATTGCAATAATAGAGAACACTCACATGCGAACGCACGTACACACGGGCATACTTAATATACTTTTCTGTGTCTACCTCATGATTCCTGACGTCTTGACACATTCATGGTCATTTTGGAAATAGGGCATAAAACTAGACTTTTCGTTTTTGACACATTTTGGGTAAAATAGATAGAAAACACGTGGAAATAGGTTATAAAACTAGACTTTTCATTTTTGACACATTTTGGGTAAAATAGATAGAAAACACGAAGCGTTGTGTGTTGCAACTAATTTCACTCCAACGATGCTTTGACAATCAAATTATTTAAGAATTATTTTGTGACTAGCCCCTTCTACTGTACGTCTTCACTTAAATTATTATTATTATTATTATTATTATTATTATTACTACTACACTAAGTTTGTAGATGGGAACACTTCATAACATATTCAGAGATTCATTGCACTTTGTAGATATGATTCCGATT